CCTATCGCATCCTGCGCCATTAGTCCTTTAACAATCTCTGCACAACAACTTGAGCTTTCTTTCGATGCATCGTAAACGCACTGGTACTTTGTCCTGTTGTCGGCGGCGGTATGAGGAATAAAAGAGGTCTTTGTGATTGATGATTTTACATTTTTGCGTTTCGTGGTAAGTTTTAGAGTCGTCCTGCAGATGGTAACTTTGCTGTCACATATTGAAGTCCATTGAAGTACAACACATAATCTGCTTGCATTGTTAGGGAAGGTTTTGAGTTGTCCATTGCTAGGACTCCCGACCCCACCCGATACTCCTGAAAAAGACAGCAGTATATAACCATCACGTGATTAACTAGAAAGCTTAACATCGGATGGTATTTCATGACTTTCATTGACAGTCGACAAGGCTTAAACCGAAATGGACTGGAAATTAAATAATTATTTCTATTTTAAGAACTCATATTCCGCTTGCAACTTCTAAGACTAGAGCTTCAATTTCAACGACAACGTCTGTTACATGTAGTATCATCATTGAGAGAATACAGCTTTTGTTTTATTAAATGTACCTACAATACTAGGAGTTATTGAGGCAAAACAAAACAACATATGTAAGCAGAGTACTAACTCAGAATGCCAAGACAGTGTACGAAGGATTAACTTCCGAAACGTCCCGTTGTTTCACCTCCTTTTTACGATGTTCAAATTCATCTTTTTACACAATTGTTTCTTTAGAAACAACGACGCAGCTCACACTAGTCTACCGCCAGTTTCCACAGATATATGCAAGTACCGTGTCTGCCAGTTATATCGAGCTTGTTTGAAATTGAGTTTTCTGAGACTTAGAATATAATACAAACCTTTAAAAAAAATTTGAAACTCAAATAAGTTTGTAAACACAACACCTCTACTTTTGAAATGAAGGCGATTKAAGCAGCTGTATCCAAAATTCGTCGACTTCGCAAAGTTCACCCGCTCAGTTCGTTTCGTWAGGTATTTCCTATTCTAACATACTTCTAACGACGAGGTCGCGATGCAAGGGTTTCGCTTCCAGTAGTTGAAAAACCCCGAAGGAAGCTCTGTCTTATAGTTGTGATGGGAAAAAATATGAACATTCCATACAAAAAAAATTGAAAAAATAATAGTCCGTTGGCGAGCACTGTCGATAAAAATCCGTTGCCCATTAGTGCTTTTTAAAGCACTTGCAATGGTAAGCTATCCTAAGASTAAAGGTTGATGATGGAAACTAGCGATCTTAAACTAGTGCGAGGTTCAGAGTAGCGCCCGTTCGTTCGTCGCAACTCCGTGGAACTCCGTGCATCTCGTATCGCCGTTTGAACGCCATGTCGGAATCTAACAGGTCCTCGATTACAGATGTTTTTACTAACCTTCAGTMGACTTGAAGATACCGAGAAGAAAAGGGAGCGAAAGTACAACCAAGCTCGTTCGCATCATGTTCAAGGGATGGTTAATGATTCACACTACCCAAGCAACAAAGACAACTGGTGGTATCCCTGTGGTATGTTTATGAATAAGAATCGCCACAGGGAATAAAGACGCTGCAAACAAAAAACTGTACTTCTATTTGAATGTTTTATTCCCGTTTCTTCCCGTTCTGCTTGAGCCGTGCAACCTTCAAATATAATCAATCCTCTAGAACTAGAAACACTCGAACTACACTGATATGTCTGATATTTGGGTTTCGTGACTGCACATACAAACAACTTAACAGAATATAATATTGATATATTGATTGAAGCGAAACTTTAATTGTATGCCTTAACAAATAAATGTTACGCTGAATAATTAAATCGATGTTTTCGT